CCAAGTCTTTCGCACAGAGGGCAGATTGAGGTTTCTAACGGTGGAAGGAATGGGAGAGGCTTTGGTCAGCGGTGGTTGTGGGACAGTTCGCCTGCAAGCTCCACGGCTCCATGCCCCGTGGCGGGGACACGTGCAGGCACCAGCTTGAAAAACGCCATCGGGCGTGGAGCTGACCCACTTGGGTCCGGAGTCTACCCTAGTCGGATCAGGCAGCTGAACGCAGGCCCTGGGACCTCGTGGTGGCCGCTGCGACCTCGAGTTCTGCGGGTGGGCGGGAAGGAGGAGTGGCACGCCGAGGGGGCGTCGGACAATGGTCTGGACAGCGAGAGCCAGTGCCTCAACTTTCCCAGGATTTTCCATTGGGAACGCCCACCCACACACTGCGTCCAGCGTGGGAGGCGATCGCTGAGAACCAGGAGACACAGCCGGGCGGGGAGACCACAGAGCCTGGCCAGAAGACGTGCTGAGACCCGCTGCAGGAACCCCTACCGCCGCGCTGCGCTCGCGCAGTGAGTCCCGGTCCCTCGCAGGGTCACGAGCAGCCCTGCGGGAGGGGCGGGGCCGGGGCGGGGCCAGAGCAGGGCCTGGCCGCGCCCCGGAGGGTGAGGGGCGCCCCACTAAGGTCGGGGTTCCGGGAGCTCCAGTGCTCTGCTCCCCTGGTGTCGCCCGAGGCTGCTGGAGGGTGATGAGACCGTGGCTTGGAGAGGACGTGCTGGGGACAAAGGTCGGGAACCGGCCAGGCTCGTGGTGAAGCTGTCGCGGGAGAGGCACTGCCGCACCGGGACGGTGGGCTGGTGGGCTTGCCACCCTGGACAGCCTGAGCCTGCAGTTATCTCTGTAGCTGAAGGGGGAGACCTGCGAGTATGCAGGGAGGAAAGAGAAGCTTTCCAAGATGGCCAGAGAGCCAGCCAGGCTGAAGGGCTCCGGAAAGGATCACAGGAAGTGGGCTGGAGGGTTCCTTGGGGGTGGAAGGAGGAGAGAACTAGTGAGCAGGCTTGGGGTCACGGGGGAGGGAGAAAGGGTGAGGCTCCTCTCTTTCCAGTGTTGTTTGTGGGCATGATTACAACCCTTCCCCCCACCCCCCACCCCCGCTTATCTGGGATATGGGCCACGAAGCTGTTGACCTGGGGCCCACACAAGGCCAGTGCGAAGAGAGATCCGTGCCCTGTACTATCTGCCTTATCTTGTAGGAAAAGAAAAACTTTTTATCCGAGGAAGTTAAGCCTTTTAAAATTATCAGGCCCATCGAGAGGATCCCTTGAGCCAGGAGTTCCAGACTAGCCTGGCCAACAAGGCGAAACGCTGTCTCTACAAAAATACGGAAATTAGTCAGGTGTTGTGGCTCCTGCCTGTGGTCCCAGCTACTCGGGAGACTAAGGCAGGAGGATCACTTGAGCCCAGGAAGTCGAGGCTGCAGTGAGACAAGATTGTGCCACTGCACTCCGGCATGGGTGACAGCCAGACCTTGTGACAAAAAAAAGAAAATCAGGCCCAGAGAGGGAATTAAAAGGAGACAGCAGTGACATCCCATTACCGCCTTTGAGTTATGTATTCATCTCTTGAAACTGCTTGCATTGGCTTGCTATTGCCGTAAGTAGCTGTGAATTAACCTAGTAATGCCACACTGGACACGATAACCCACTCCTTGTAGCTTAACAGTGTATAGCCAACCACTAGTCAATGAGAGTTCTGTAAACCAATGAAAATTCCTAACAACTTTGTATTAGCCCACAGCCCACTTCCTGTTCCCATTTTTTGTCTTTGAAAACCTGCTTGTAACAAAGCCCTGATGGAGCTCATACCCAAGGTTACTTGGGTCTGAGTCTTCCTGGCAGTCATCCTCCCTCTGTTTTTGTTTGTTTGTTTGTTTTTTGAGACCATGTCTCGCTCTTGTCACCCAGGCTGGCATGCAATGGCACAACCTTGGCTCACTACAACCTCCATCTCTGGGTTGCAGCGATTCTCCTGCCTCAGCCTCCCAAGTAGCTGGGATTACAGGCAGGTGCCACCACACCCAGCTAATTTTTTGTATTTTTAGTGGAGACCGGGTTTCACCATGTTGGCCAGGCTGGTCTCAAAGTCGTGACCTCAAGTGATCAACCTGCCTCGGCCTTCTAAAGTGCTGGGATTACACATGTGAGCCACCACACCTGGCCCCCTTTGGCTCAAGTAAACTCTTTCAATCATATTTTGGGTCTCAGCCTCTTCCTTTTGCGTTGACAATTGACTCCCAGAATATGGAGGCTTTGGCTATAAGGAGCAGGGCCATGGGTGAAGAGTGCCCACAATGACTCAGAGAGAGGTCCCCAACTGGGGCCCGGCTTTCCCACTGTGTCCCCTCAGGAATCTCCCCCCGGGATGCCTGCACCTTTCCTGAGCCTGTAGAAATGTCAGTTTCCTCCACCTCCCAGCACGATAGACTGTGAGGGAATAGGGTGATGGTGGCTCTAGGACTCCCCAGCTGACTCAGTGAACCTCTCTGTACCACCCACACCAGCACGCCTGGAATGCAGACAGGGCGCCCCTGAGAGGCTTCTCCTATGGAGCCTCCTATGCCGCCTATTAGGAAGTTGCAGGAGGCGACCCAGAAGGACAGGAACAACACAGGAGGGAAGGGACGCTGGACACCCCGAGGATGCCATAGCAGAGATGCCTGAGGGAGAGGGAGGGAGACAATTCAGGATGTGCTGAGTTACCTACTGCTACCCATCCTATAACACCCCCATCAGCCTCCCTCTTCAGTCCTCCCTACCCCATCCCTGTTCCCATCTGCTGTCTATCCACTCTCTCCTTCCTGTGGGCCTCATTCCCCCACATCTGCCCCTTTCCCATATAGCTGTGCTTCTTGCCCTTCAGCCCCCTTGGACAGGCCAGCAGAATGCAGACCCCTCAAAGACAAACACACTCAGGTCACCCCAAAATGGAAAGCGGGCTCTGAGATAACAGAAACCAACCCCCAAAAGTCAGGAAACATGGCAGTCCCCTCTCTTCCTCTATTCTCAGTCTCTTTTGGAACATATGGTTGTATTTTATGCACCTTCATGTCTGCAAAGTAACCCTTACCTGGTCCGCATCTCCCCATTATCCCACCATCAGAACATCTGAATTGGAGCATGGGGCTTCCTTAGTGGCAGGACTCTAGGGGGTGAGGAGCCAGGAGAGAAGTATATGGAGCACATGTCGGCCCCTGGAGGTCTGTCTGAGTAGCCCAGTGTGTCTCCATCTTATGCCAGAGGGAGGGAGACCTTGGTGGGGAGGAGCTCCCCACCACCAGGAAAATTGAAGGGGCATGTGTACCGATTTCCATCCCCACTACCACTACCTTCTGTTCCTGGACTGCCATCCCCTGTGGTCTCCATTCGAATGCTCTTTCCCCAGATCTTCCCATGGCTGCTTCCTTCTAGAAGTCATCTGGGTTCAGTTCAAATGGCATCTCTTCCAGGATCTTCCCTAAATTCACCACTCTCCCCCAAAACACACACACACACACACACCATTCTATGCCATGGTCCTTGCAGTATTTTCTGATTACTGCGTACTGATTATATTGTACTGCTATCTGTTGGCGGGGCGGGGGGGGGATTTGTTTTGTTTTCTTTTTTTGAGACAGTCATACAGGCTGGAGTGCAACGGCACAATCTCAGCTCACTGCAACCTCCTGCAACTTCCTCCTCCCAGGTTCAAGTGATTCTCATGCCTCAGCCTCCCAAGTAGCTGGGACTTACAGCTGTGCACCACCATGCCCAGCTAATTTTTATATTTTTAGTAGGGACAAGGTTTCACCATGTTGGCCAGGCTGGTCTCAAACTCCTGACCTCATGATCTGCCCGCCTCAGCCTCCAAAAGTGCTGGGATGACAGGCATGAGCCACCTTGCCTTATTAATTTGTTGACTTGGTAATTGTCCCTGTCACCTCTCATCCCCAGGATGTAGGCTTTCTAGGGCAAAGACCTTGTCTTTTTCCTATCTGTATCCCCAGATCCTAGAACAATGCCTGGCACATAGAAGCCACTCAATAAATATGTATAACTGAATTAAACACAGAGATGTTTGGCTGGTCAGTAAAGGGTCTTTATTGCTGCCTTTTTTTTTTTTTTTTTGTTTAAGATAGAGTCTTGTTTTGTCACTCAGGCTGGAGGGCAGAGGTGCGAACATGGCTCATTGCAGCCCCGACCTCCCAGGTTTAAGCTATCCTCTCGTCTCAGCCTCCTAAGTAGCTGGGATTATATGTGTGTGCCACTATGCCTGGGTAATTTTTGTCTTTTTTGTAGAGACAGGATTTTGTTATGCTGCCCAGGCTGGTCTCAAACTCCTGAGCTCAAGTGATCCGCCAGCCTCAGCCTCCCAAAGTGCTGGAATTACAGGTGTGAGCCACTGTGCCGGCCCTGACTGCCTTTTTTTTTTTAAGACGGAGTTTCGTTCTTGTTACCCAGGCTGGAGTACAATGGCGCGATCTCCGCTCACTGCAACCTCCACCTCCTGGGTTCAGGCAATTCTCCTCCCTCTGCCTCCTGAGTAGCTGGGACTACAGGTACATGCCACCACGCCCAGCTAATTTTTTGTATTTTTAGTAGAGACAGGGTTTCACCATGTTGACCAGGATGGTCTCGATCTCTTGACCTCGTGATCCACCCGCCTTGGCCTCCCAAAGTGCTGGGATTACAGGCATGAGCCACCGCGCCCGGCCCCCTGACTGCCTTTTTAATCCTTATTGCTGCATCTTCATCCCCTGCCAAAGCCCCAGGCATTGCCGTGCCTGCAGCTGCCCCCAACCACAGCTGCTGCAAACCCACCACCATTGCCACCACCAACACCAGCACCTGAGGTCCCTCAGGAACCATGAGTGAGCTGACACACTCAGGTCTTGCACATGACCTTCAAGCCCCAGTTCCCAAAAGAATTGACCCCTGCTCTGGACTCCTTTCCCACCAGCCCCATCCTCCTTTTGAAACCATGCTTGGACTCCACTGCTCCTATAAGGACACACTTCTCCAGAGAGCCTCAGTACAAATGCACCACGATTTATTGAGGGATTGCCACATGTCAGGCACCATGCTAGGGGAGTCTCCAACATCATGGGCACGCCAAATGCCAGTGCTCTTCTCCCTCTGAGTCTCCCTGAATCCCTGCGCCTCCTGCAGTCAACATGACATTGTTTGTCCTGGGCAAGTTGCTGTGCCTGAGCTGAAGGGGAGCTGCGGGCCTGGGTCCCCCTGCCAGCCACTGTCTGCCTTGCTGTCTCTGTCCCTCACCTCCTCTGGTATCATTGGAGGCATTTGCTCATCCGGAAGCAGATTCTCTGGATGGGGTTGGACAGCCACACTGCTCTCCCATCTCTCCCCACTGTTTGGCCCAGTGTTTCTATAAGAGGATCAGGACAAAGGCAAGAAAGCCCATGGGGTTCACTGGCTGGCCTGTGATCCACAGCTCCCGTTTCTTTACCTAGATGCGGGATTTAGTGTGGTTCTGAAGCTCAGACTTAGCCTCTTTCTTGGAGCAAGTAACAGGAAAAATGGGAGGTAAAGGAAGAAATGGAGCTCTAGTTATTTGCAGGAGGGAGAGGAGTACAATCACCACATACAAACCATGTTCAGCAGAATGCCTTCCCTGTCGCATATACACACATATCTACACATGCACGTGCACACACACAGATGTTCTGAGACACACACTCTGAATTCTTCTGGAAGAGAAGAACTGGCTTGAGAAGGCACAGGAAGCACCCAGGAATGGAAACTAGTATTTCCCGGACTCAAAAGACAGGACCAGTCATTGCTGCAGAACAAAGCAGGGTGACTACTGGTCTCTTGAGCCCAGATCACTGTTTTCTTTGACCGGTTGGGTTCCTGCTTATTTCTGTTTTCAATTTTATCCTGGGGCTTTATCTCCAATGAGGCCCTTTTTTAACTGCCATGACCTAGATTTGCCTTCCTTGGTCCTGAGCATAGCAGGAATACTCATTGACCATAGGCTCAGCCAGCTCAGTACCCTTGGCTGCTCAGCACTAAGCCTGTGTCTCCATTGGCCACACAATCAAGGCATCCTCATTCATATTGCTGTGGGCTCCGGCGGCCGTTTGCATTGGCTGCCCTATCCTAAAGCTCGATCTCTGTTGGTTGCCACAAGATGTAGTATCTCCACTGACTGTGAATCCAATGGATGAATGGGCTTTGTCCTCTCCTTGCCACACTGGTAGGTGTCTCCCAACCTGTGCCCCCTCTTTAGCCTGCATTAGGGTGGGGGAGTACTGGGGGTGCCTGAAGAAGGCCCAACAGCCTCGAGAAGCCTCTGGTGCTGGCGCAGGTGCCTCCTCCTTTCGTGTTCTCCTGTGACTTCACACACCAGCTGGGCAGGGAAGGCCCCAGGAAGCCCCTTCAGCCAACCTGGGGGAAGAGGGAGAGGGGCTCCAGTGAGGTGGAAGCAAGGAGCAGGTGAAGAGGCAAAAAGGGCCTCGTGGGGTCTCAGGGCTTCGGGGTCATTGTAGGTGTGAGAATTCATGGACAAGCCTGGAGCATCAGTAGAAGGGGCATCGGAAGTGGAGGTGACAGCAGCTTGGGGAGGGTCTGGGCTGCTTCTCAGTAGTGGCTGCCCATGTCACTTGGAGTGAGAGGTGGAGTCCTTGCAGGAAACTGTCAGGTCTTGCATGATCCCATCCCTGCCACCTCTATGACCTCATTTGCTTCTCCCCCTTTGTCTCTCCTCAGGCCACACTGACCCCTTGACAGTTCCTCAATCACACATCAGCTTCAGGGCCTTTGCATGGCTGCTGCCTCCAGCTGGGTCACTCTTCCCCCAGACACTGTGGGCCTAAATTAGCTCCATCAAGCTCCATGTTGCCTTCTCAGTGAGGTCCATCTCGGCCTCCCCATGGAAAATTTCACTGGTAGGTTGGACACAGTGGCTCATGTAGAGACAGGGTTTTGACATGATCCCGTCCCTGCCACCTCTATGACCTCATTTGTAATCCCAGCACTTTGGGAGGCCAAGGCAGACAGATCATGAGGTCAGAGATTGAGACCATCCTGGCTAACATGGTAAAACCCCATCTCTACTAAAACTACCAGAAATAAGCTGGGCATGGTGGCAGCCACCTGTAATCCCAGCTACTTGGGAAATTGAGGCAGAAGAATTGCTTGAACCTGAGAGGCGAGAGTCGCAGTGAGCCAAGATCATACCATTGCATTCCAGACTGGGCAACAGAGCAAGACTCCATTTAAAAAGAAAAAAAGAAAAAAGAAAAAAAGGAAGGAAGGAAGGAAGGAAGGAAGGAAAGGGAAGGGAAGGGAAGGAAAGGAGAGAGGGAGGGAAGAAAAAAGAAAATTTCACTCTGCCCAACCCTGGAACTCCTGATCTTCTTTGCTCTGCTTATTTTTTTTTTCATCCATAGCACTCATTACCTTCATATGTACTTTATAATTTACTTATCTATTTGGCTCATTCTTTATCCTCTGCCTCCTCTGCTAGAACATAGCTCCAGCAGGGAAGGAAGTGTGGTGTGGTGTTTGATTCACAGTCCCTAGAACGGCAAGTGGCACTTCGTAGGTGCTTAATAAATATTTATTGAATTAATAAATGAAACACGGTCAGGCACAGTGGCTCATGCCTGTAATCCCAGAACTTTGGGAGGCCGAAGCAAGAGGATCACTTGAGCCCAGGAGTTCAAGACCAGCCTGAGCAACATAGTAAGACCCGCCCCCTCCATTAAAAAAAAAAAATAGAAATAAAATTTAAAAAAAAAAAAAAAAAAGAAGGGCCAGGCACGGTGGCTCAAGCCTGTAATCCCAGCACTTTGGGAGGCCGAGGCGGGTGGATCACGAGGTCAAGAGATCGAGGCCATCCTGGTCAACATGGTGAAACCCCGCTCCTACTAAAAATACAAAAAATTAGCTGGTGGCGCGTGCCTGTAGTTCCAGCTACTCAGGAGGCTGAGGCAGGAGAATTGCCTGAACCCAGGAGGCAGAGGTTGCAGTGAGCCGAGATCACGCCATTGTACTCCAGCCTGGGTAACAAGAGCGAAACTCCATCTCAAAAAAAAAAGAAAGAAAGAAGGCCAGGTGTGGGTGGCTCACACCTGTAATCTCAGCATTTTGGGAGGCCAAGGCAGACAGATCATCTGAGGTCAAGAGTTCAAGACCAGCCTGACCAACATGGTGAAACCCCATCTCTATGAAAAATACAGATATTAGCCAGGTGTGGTGGCAGCCACCTGTAATCCCAGCTACTTGGGAGGTTGAGGCAGAAGAATTGCTTGAACCCAGGAGGTGGAGGTTGCAATGAGCTGAGATCACACCAATGTACTCCAGCCTGGCCAACAGAATTAGACTCTGTCTCAAATAAATACATTTTAAAAAATAAATGAAAGACTCTCTCGCCTTCAGGGGTCTTGTGCAGGTGCTTGGGGGTAGCCCTGGACTCCAGACTCCGTCCTTCAGTCTTGGCAGGTACAGATGGCTCTGAACACAGTTCCTGGGAACAGTCTGGTTGGGGGTGGGTGACATTAAGTGGGATAGAGGTTCTGTTTAGCTTCTCCCCAATATTCCCCTAAAACTCGCTTCTTCTTCCCTCCTCACTTCTAGGGGGCTACTCACCAGAGTCCTCATAGATGGTGTCCGGGGAGCAGGGAAGGGGGCCTGGGGTTGGGAAGGCTCCTAGCCAGCGCTGCATGTCTGATCTGGTGGGGATATTGGGAAATGTTGCAGTTGGCCCAGGAGATCCTCTGGGGTTGAGGCAGGAGCCACAAAACAGAGAAACTGGGGAAGTTGGGGAAGGTCTGAGAAGTCAGATAATGGTCCCAAGGGTGTTTTCTGAAGGAAACACAACTCACAGGGAAGAAGCTTGGAGTAGCCGGTGGGTGGGGCGGCCCTGGTGGTTGCTGAGAAGGGAGAGGCGGAAGGTAGGGGGTCCAGATGGATCCGGAACCTGCTGGGCCTGGACCAGGGAGCGATGGGCATAGTCCAGAACCTGTAGCCGCTGCCCACTGCCCAGGGATTATGTCGTTCAGAAGGACAGCAGGAGTCCTGCTGGACCCTTCCTGCCCACTTCAGCCTAGGGTCCTTCCTACCCTAGGACTCACCTCTTAGGCTGAGTGATGAGCAGCAGGTCGCTAAAGAGCAGCAGGCAAAGAGGGGTGAAGCGGGGGCGCGAGGCAAAGAGCACGCCCCCCCTCCGGCACCCTAACTCCGTCAGCTCTCCCTGGAACTCCAGGCGCCGTGACCAGGAGACCAGGGGCAGGGCCTGCGAAGAAGCAGAAGGTTCTAGAGCAGGTTCTAGCTTCGAAGCACTGTGGGGCAGGACAAATATGGAGCCTGGGCAGGGATGTACCTTGACTTTGTGGAAGCGCAGCCTTTGGGTGAGCCGGATCAGCTCTTCAGTCTGCTTCATGCGCCCCACCTCAGCGCTGCAACGCTCGATGATCTGGGTAAGGGGAGCCTCATCACCCATCCCAGCAGTCAGCCCCCACTCCCTGCCATTTCTCTCTCCCACCTTGTCACCTCCCCTAGCTTCAGCTTCCCTCCTGCCCACCTTGCTGACAGCACCCAGGGCCCTCTGGGCATTCTCCTGGCGGCTGGACCCCTCTTCTGTCTGGCGCAGGATATTCTGGGAACAAAGAGGAAAGGTGACTGGGCACCCTGATCTGTCGCCCTGGGATTCAGAGGGGCCACAGCTCAGAGGACCCTGCCTGCTTTGGCTAGCTTCAGCAAGGCTGACAGACCTCATCACTCACCATCTGCAGAACCCTGAGCAAGTCCTGTTACCGCTCTGAGCCTCAGCTTCCTCATCTGTAAAATGGGGCTAATAACCACCTGCTAGGTATATATCAATAGCATTGTTTTGAGGATTCAAGAAGGTAATATATGTAAAGTGCTTAGCATAGTTCTTGACACATATTAAATGTTGAAAAGAAGGTTGCTCTTATTTTATTTTTTTAATTTTTTTTTTTTTTTTTTTTTGAGACAGAGTTTCGTTCTTGTTACCCAGGCTGGAGTGCAATGGCGCGATCTCGGCTCGCCGCAACCTCCGCCTCCTGGGTTCAGACAATTCTCCTGCCTCAGCCGCCTGAGTAGCTGGGATTACATGCCACCATGCCCAGCTAATTTTTTGTATTTTTAGTAGAGACGGGGTTTCACGATGTTGACCAGGATGGTCTCAATCTCTTGACCTCATGATCCACCTGCCTCAGCCTCCCAAAGTGCTGGGATTACAGGCGTGAGCCACCACTCCCGGCCTAAATTATTTTTTAAGAAACAGGGTCTTGCTTTGTTGCCCAGGCTGGAGTGCAGTGGCTATTCACAGGCACGATCCCACTACTGATTAGTACAGGAGTTTTGACCTGCTCTGGGCCACTTCACCCCTCCTTAGGCAACCTGGTGGTCCTTCACTCCCAGGAGGTCACCATATTGTTGCCAAACTTAGTGAGGACACCCGATTGGCATAGCGCTCTACAGCCAGAACTCCTGGCTCAAGCAATCCTCCCACCTCAGCCTCCCAAGTAGCTGGGACTACAGGCATGCGCAACCACGCCCAGCTAATTTTTGTATTTTTAGTAGAGATGGGGTTTAACTATGTTAGCCGGGATGGTCTTGATCTCCTGACCTTATGATCCGCCCGCCTTGGCCTCCCAAAGTGCTGGGATTACAGACATGAGCCACTGAGCCTGGATCCATCAATTGATTCTATATGACCTGTGGCAAGTTATGTAACCTATGCCTTAGCTTTCTCATCTCTAAAGTAGGACAAATAATAGTTCCTACCCTCACACAGTTGTGAGTAAGTTTACACAGGTGTATGGCACTTAGAACCATTCCTAGAAAGCTCAATAGCTGTTGAGCTCTTATGATTAGTATCATTATTATTATTATTGTGCTGTCTACAGTGGAAATAGATAAAGCTGAATAAGATCATAAAGACACTGATAATCTAGTTGGGAATTTTCCACATAAAAATCCCCCCATTCACTGGGCTCAGTGGCTCAAGCCTGTAATCCTAGAGATTTCAGAATCTGAGATAGGAGGATCACTTGAGGCCAGAAGTTCAAGGCCAGCCTAGCCAACAGAGTGAGACCCTGTCTCTATAAAAATAAAAATTAATAAATAGTCGGGCATGGTGGCATTGTAGTCCCAGCTACTTTTGAGGCTGAGGTATGAGGATCCCTTGAGCCCAGGAATTTAAGGCTGCAGTGAGCCGTGATTGTGCCACTGCTCTAAAGATCCCCATATTGGGTAACCTGGTTAGAAAGGAGTCTCTATTTTGCAATAGAAGAGAGTATCTCAGGCTAGGCACAGTGGCTCATGCCTGTAATCCCAAGCACTTTGGGAGGCAGCGTCAGGTGGATCACCTGAGGTCAGGAGTTCGAGACCAGCCTGACCAACATGGTGAAACCTCGTCTCTACTAAAAATACAAAATTAGCAAGTGTGGTGGCACATGATTGTAATTCCAGCTACTGGGGAGGCTGAGGTAGGAGAATCACTTGAACCCTGGAGGTGGAGGTTGCGATGAGCCGAGATCTCGCCATTGCACTCCAGCCTGGGCGACACTCCATCTCAAAAAAAAGAAAAGTGTCATCGGGCGCAGTGGCTCATGCCTGTAATCCCAGCACTTTGAGAGGCTGAGGTGGGTAGATCACCTGAAGTCAGGAGTTTGAGACCAGCCTGATCAATATGGTGAAACCCCATCTTTTAAAAAAAGAAAGAAAGAAGAGTTTTTCTTCCCCATTATCACCCCACTAAGGAGCCTTTTTAAGATAATTATCCCTAAACATCCCCCTTACCATGAACCATGAAAGTTTAATTCTACAGATCTACTGTAACTCTGTTTATGCACTAAAGCTTAATGGAGTACCACTGCTGGAATAACTAATATTATTTTCACATCCAAAGAACCAATTTTTGCCCCCTTGGGGGTGATATCACCCCAGCTGGGAAGGCATGTGGGTAGAAAAATAAAGCCAGAGACAACCTCAAAAACCACTCACACACTCCCCCTGAGACCCAGAGAGCAGAAGGGACTTGCCCAAGGTCACTCAGTGAATCAGTGGCAGAGCTAAGTGTGGAACTCATGTCTCCAGCCAGAGGCCCTTTCCCTGCGCCTGGACCTGGAGGCAGTCCAGGTAGAGGAAAGAGCCCTCACAGCCCCTAAGGTAGGGTTTGGTGGGTCCTAGGCTGGGAGACCCAGATTACGAGGGTCTGGAGAATCTTCCAGATTCTGGGGGATTTTATGGGTTTTGTTTTGTTTTGTTTGTTTCTTCGTTTGAGACGGAGTCTGTCTCTGTCGCCAGGCTGGAGTGCAGGGGCACGATCTCGGCTCACTGCAACCTCCGCCTCCCGGGTTCAAACAATTTTCCTGCCTCAGCCTCCAGAGTAGCTGGGACTACAGGCGACCGCCACCACGCCCAGCTAATTTTTGTATTTTTAGTAAAGACGGGGTTTTACCATGTTGGCCAGGATGGTCTCGATCTCCTGACCTCGTGATCCGCCCGCCTCGGCCTCCCAAAGTGCTGGGATTACAGGCGTGAGCCACCGCGCCCTGCCTTTATGCCTAAAGTGGAGTCGGGCATGGTAATAGCTGGGCAAGAGGCCCTCGGGAGAGTTCTCCGATGGGTTGGTGGGGCAGGTACAGCCGCAGCCGGGACAGGTACCTGCAGCAGCATGCGAAGCCGGGTAATGCGCTGGAAGGGCAGTAGCAGGAAGGACGGCAGCGGGAGCCGTTCACACTTCGGGAGGCTCTGCAGCCGGCGCAGCTCCGCGGAGAAGCGCACGTTGGTGTCCCTGCAGAAGCAGGCGTGGCTAGCGGCTGCCTGGAGACCCTGGTGCCCCAGCCTGCTGTGGGCCTTGGCCCACCCCTCTCCCCAGCTTCCTCCCCATCCCCGGGACACTCACATGAGGCGGCTGTAGGTCTCCTCCTGATACTGCTGGTTCCGCACGTAATCCACATACACCGAGAAAGGCCCCACGGCATGGGCATGCACCACATCACACAGGTCGCTGATGTGCGGGGAAGAGCGCACACGGGACAGTAACGTCGTTAGAAACCTGAAGGAATTGGGGAAGCGAGCAATGGGGCGGGGCAGAGAGCCAGGTCTCCCGCGTTTTTGAGAGAAGAGCTGGGAACTAACTGAACCCGCAGAAGTAAAGACCTGGGCTGGGGAGAGAGAAAAGGGCGTGCCCAGCAACCTAAGGCCAGTTTCCCAGGAAGGATGGGAAGCCACTGACCGCTCGCTGACTCCCTGGACTCGCTGCACGTTGGAGAAGAGTGTGTGGTGATCACGCGGGGTGAGCGTGTCCCGGAGTGCCTGGCTTAGCACGAAAGTGTCGGTCAGCAGCCGCAGGGAGCGCAGGTAGGAAGCCTCCGATGTCACCACCTCGAAAAGACTCTAGAAAGAAGAGCGGGCAGTCGTGTCAGTCCCCTATGCCTGACCCATGCAGCCCAACCCCAGCACCCTCCTCCCATCTCCCATGTCCAGCTCTCACCTCCTGCATGCGCCTCTCCTGGGGGCTGAGGGTATCCAGAAGGCCGCTGGCTTGCACAGCCGGAAGCTCCTGCCACAGGGTGTTACGAGGTCCAGGGGGTCGTGGGAAGGTGGGTGCATCTCCAGCATTTGCTGGAGAAGGACTCCCATCCTCACCGACCCCCCACAGCTCCTCTGACAGCACGGCTGCTCGGTAGGTCTGGTACAGAGGTTCTAGAAGGCAGACATAGCACTTCAGGGAAGCCCAGTGCCCCCAAACCCTTCCCCACTGCTTGATGGTCACAGCAGGGACCCTCAGGTCCAGAGGCCCTCACCATCCTGCAGGGGCAGCTCCCAATTCTGCTCCTTCAGCACCTCTAGCCCCTCCTCTTCTCTGTGGAGAAAGAAAGGGAAGGGAGTCCCCAGGGCCACCACTGCTGCCACCGCAAGGATGCCTGTTGTCCCCATGCTGGACAGGGCAACCCACATGCAGGTTGGATGTAAGGACCCTGATGGTTCCCCACATCAAACTTCAGGTTTTTTGGGGTTTTTCTTGGGGCAGTGGGGAAGACAAGGTCTCACTGTGTTGCCCAGGCTGGTCTTAAACTCCTGGCCTCAAGCAATCCTGCCACCTTGGCCTTCCAAAGTGTTGGGATTGCAGGCATGAGCTACTTTGCCCAGCCCAAACTCCAGATCTTTTTATGTGCCATCTAGAGAGGACCCCCTGAGCTAAGTAGGCCCTATTCTTATCTCAACCACTGTGGACCAAAGACTTCTGAGTCTCCTCCTCAACCCTCACGTCACAACCATTGTCTGGAACGTTCTATTTGTGTGTCAAGGAAGCTCAACATGATGCACTACAACTCTCACACCTCCCACCAGCACCTGCAGCCCCCATCTGCCCCGCTCTGGTCCTCAGCATCATCACACCCCCATTCGCCCAAGCTAAAAACCACTAGTAAATGTTTGTTGAATAAATGAATGGACCCAGATAACTTCTGACAGCAATGGTGAATCTGAGATAATTAACAAGCCTGGATAGCATAGAAGAGGCGGTCATGATTACCAAATAGATTTTCAGACAATAATTGCCATAGAAGCTCAAGGTGAGGGAAGGGAGTTAAGATGGTGCACTTACTCTGGGCCCGGCTCTTCACAATATCATACCCCCATGATTCCATGCCGTGGTTCCTATGCTTAGCCCCATTTCACAGATGAGAATGCTGAGCCCCAGGAAGGTTAAAGACTTTTTTTTTTTTGAGACAGAGTTTTGCTCTTGTTGCCCAGGCTGGAGTGCAATGACACAATCTCAGCTCAGTGCAACCTCCACCTCCTGAGTTCAGGCGATTCTCCTGCGTCAGCCTTTCAAGTAGCTGGGACTACAGGTATGCACCACCATGTCCAGCTAATTTTGTATTTTTAGTAGAGATGGGGTTTCACCATGTTGGCCAGGCTGGTCTCAAACTCCTGACCTCAGGTGATCTGCCTGCCTCACCTTCCCAAAGTGCTGGGATTATAGGCATAAGCCACCGCTCTGGCCTTCTTTTTTTTTTTTTTTTTTTGAGACGGAGTTTCGCTCTTGTGACCCAGGCTGGAGTGCAATGGCGCAATCTCGGCTCACTGCAACCTCTGCCTCCTGGGTTCAGGCAATTCTCCTGCCTCAGCCTCCCGAGTAGCTGGGATTACAGGCACGCGCCACCATGCCCAGCTAATTTTTTGTATCTTTAGTAGAGATGGGGTTTCACCATGTTGACCAAGATGGTCTCGATCTCTTGACCTCATGATCCACCCGCCTCGGCCTCCCAAAGTGCTGGGATTACAGGTGTGAGCCACCGCACCCGGCCTGCTCTGGCCTTCTATTAGGTCACAGAATCTATAAGGGCCAGAGCTGGGATTCAAAACAAGGGCTACTTACCTCTAGGGCCCTGGCCTTTGTCCCCTCAACTTTGTGGAGGTGGGATTTAGCTGGAGCTGAAGGCTAGTCTGCCCTCAGGTAGAGGCATGGTAGGGAGAGTGGCAGGGAGTAGGTAGGGGTGGGGGTGTTCGGTACCTCCCCTCCACAGGTGCTGGAGGAGTGTTCCCAGGAGCTTCATCAGGACTGTCTCCTGGAAAGAGAAGCCAGAGTGAAGAGAAAAAACCTCTAAGATCCCCAGCCCAGGACTTTTGACTCCAGCCCCAGCAGGGACTGTTACAATAAAAACTGCAACTTTCTTTTTTTATTTGTTTGTTTTTGTTTTTTGTTTGCTTGTTTGTTTTATTCAGTTCCCACAGAGACTGCCAAAAGTTGCCAATGCCAACAATATTTCAAGTCGTCATGGTGGGGTATTGGGAAAAGTCTTCAATCAGCAATAATCGCGCCTTGGGTGAACCTCATTGGCTACGATACTGCCACTGCAAAAAGCTAAAAACTAAAAGCAACTTTCATCAGCACCAGAGCAGTAGCTGGTAGAGAAGCAAAGAGCCCAGGGCCTGTTGGGGGTTGTAGTTTGTTGGGCTTTAGTCCCCCCTGCCTCTCCCCTTTCCGCTCACCCTCGAGAGGTCCACTCCCCCAGGCCCTGCACCTGTTTGGATTCCATCTTCAGAAGGCAGATCGAGATCTGGCTGTGGGAGGTCCCCAGAAATGGTGGCGTCCTGCCTGACACGAGTTGGCTTGGGAGGCTTGAGAGGTGGCAGGAGTTTGCGCTCGGCAGTGGAACGGTAGGATGTGAGGACCACAGCTGGGTGACCAACACTTGGAGGGTTGGGGCGGGAGCGAGAGGTCCGTAGTGGGGATGCCCGGCGGGGGGCCCTGGGAACCTCCTCATAGCCCCCCACAGGCACCCATCTGAGCTCCAGGCCAGGCCGGGTGGCATGACAGACACAGGGGCAGCAAGGAGGGCAGGCCAGGCCAGCATCTGCGGGAGACAGGTATCCTAAGGAGAAAGCCCTTGGGGCCCGGCCCCACCCCACCCAGGCTGCCTCTGTCTTTAATCTGCCCAGCAAGGGCAACATCAAGGTCCAGCCCCAGGCATCTGTCAATCTCCTCCACCCCAACTCTCTTCAAATCCCAACATACAGAAACCAGATATTCCAAACATTAAATCCATTTTTGAAAAGGTACCCCTGAAAGTTGTTAGCCTTGAAACACTGAAAATGAAGAAGATGGGTGAATTGAGGTCACCCAACCCCGCATACTCACCTGGAGCACTGTTCTCCTGGGACCCGCTCCCAGTGAGGGGACCCTCTCTCTCCCCATTCACATCTGCTCCCACTTGAAGACCCGGCTCCAGGGCATCTGCAGCCTGAGCCTTGCCTTCAGCACCTCCTTCAAACCTGCCAGCCAGCCTCCGCACAGTGCCAGGGGCTGAGGCAGAGCCATTCTGGGCCGGGACCCCCGCCATGGGGAGTAGGGGCATGCGGGGTGACCCAGAGGGCTTGAGTGGGGGAACTGGGGACCGGGGGGCAGATTCAGGGGAGGCGGAGCGCCGGGACACTGGGCTGGGTGTGGGGGTGCTAGAAGGTGAGTCTGGGGAAGTCTGGGAGTCAAGGCTGGCCCTAGAAGCTGAGGGAGGCAAAAGAGCAGGGGGCTTGAGGGATGCGGCTGGGGGCTCCCAAAAAATGGGGGTGCACATTGGGGTTGGTGCAACTTTGGAGGTTTGGGGAAGTTCTTGTGGAGAGGAGCCATTGTGAGGAGGCCCTGGGGACTGGGCAGCCCTGGAACGAGAAGGAGGGCGGGGGCGGATAATCCGAGGGGGCTTCTGCGTAGGGGGTGTCGCTGCAGGAAGGGACTGCATTGACATCTTCCTCTGCACTCTTCAAAGGAGTGGGGCGTTCTGCTGGAGTCATCCCCTGAAGAGGAGGGAGGGAAAGAGAAAGAGCTTTAGTGCCTTGCAGGGTGGGTAAACTGAGACCACTGGAAGGCAGGATCTTGAAGTCAGGAGGGAAGGCTGGTGTAGGGGTTCCAGAGAATCCATCAAATTCAATAAGGGGGGATTCCCTTGCTAGTATAGCCGCTCCGAGTTTGCCTGCTGAACCGTGTGTCTGTGGAGGGCGTTGTGGAGGTTTGTGTGGGGGGTGGCATGGTGTGTTGTGAGTGTGCCAGTTCTGTGCTTGCCACGTGGGTGTGCAAGGGGAGCGTGGAGTGTCCAGTGTGTGGCGTGTGGCCTGTTAGGCAGTGCTCGGTGTGAGTGTCCAAGATGGCAGTGCCAGGGTGGCTGTGCGATGTGTGTCCTGTGCTGTCTCGGTCTGAGTGCCACGAGCGCCTGTCCTGTCTGCTGGACCTGGGCTGCGAGGGATGCATCACTGTTTTTCTGCTCCACCGGCCCTCCGCCCCCCCTTTCCCAGTTCCTCTCTCTGGACTCTCCCTTTCCGGATTATTTTTAGTCTCCTTTTCCTGCCATCAAGATTCCTGGAGCCTCTGACCCCCAGAGATGAGAAGGCCCTGGCACAGTCTCTCCTGTCCTGTGTCCAATCATCCCTGCCTGCCCTGAAGTCTGGTCACAGAGAGAGGCCCAGCACAGGCCTGGGTCCTGCAGGAGGCCTGGGGAGACGGCTGGGAGAGGAGACTGAAGGAGAGGACCAGTCAGGCCAGGACGCTGGGGCCTGGGTTTCTCCTCCTCCCTCGAGGAAGGAGGCTGTAATACCAAGAAGAGTGCAGGGTCAGACTGGGGAGAGGGGAACCTCAAATTCTCATCAGGGGTCAGCAGGAGAGTCAGACCCCTCCAAGCCGCAGATTGTGTCTTGAGAAATGATGTGGGGGAGACATGGGGGTTGTAGATGATGAGTCTTGCAGCTCAGTGGCCTCTGTGTTCTGGCTGAAAGTCACTAAGCAAAGTGGTCTTGACCACTGGCCAGCTCCTCCCCAGCCCCTGGCCCTCAGGGACCCCATCCCCCTCAGGTTCCTGCATTTACTTCCTTCCCTACCCCCCACTCAGGAACCCAGGTACTCGGGCCCCAAGCACTCACCCTCGAATCCCCTCCACTCTCAGTCACCTCCCAGGGCTGAGTGAGTAGGGGCAGGAAACAGGAATCGGATCTACCTCCCAACCGGACACACCCCCCCCCCCCACAAACCACACCACTCTCCACATGCGCACATCACCCAGGGCTCCGGTAGACAGAGGTATCCAGGGTCTCAGAGATTAACGGGATCCAGGGAAAAGCTGAAATTCAGGCATGGAAAGTATGTGCGCAAGTTCTACCTCCACAGCTGTGTGGATAGGGACTCACAGGGGAGAGGTGGATGGGGTGGGGGTGAAGACAGGGCAGCGATGGCACAGAGCTTGGCTGGGCGGCATGGCTGTCTGGACGCCACTGTCTCAGCTAAGAGATCCCTCCACGGTGAGTCTCACCATCTCTCCCACGACTTGCACAACCACCTGTCTCTTCAGCTGGGTGTGAGCCAAGCCCTATTTCACATGGAGGGACCCTCCCGCAGGCTTCCCTCCCTAATTCTGCAGTAGGTCCCCATAAATTTACCTTTATTTTTTGGAATCAGTTGCTATTTCAGCCTGTCCTGTCTGCCCCTTGGAACAAGGAATGAGGGGCTGAAGTCTCCAAGTGTCTGTTCCTGTGTTTCTGGGGCGGGCACTCAGGGCCAGATTGAGATCTCTGCGGAGGAAGCCAGTTCCTCAGCCCCACCCAGCCATTGTGTTGGGTGTGTGTGTGTGTGTGTGTGTGTGTGTTATAGGAGGGAGAAAAGGGAAAAGGGGAGGGCCAGGAGGTAGGACTAAGAGGAGAGGGGAGGGGAAGGGAGGGGAGGGGAATGAGAAGAGAGGGACAGACTTGGAGTCTGTCTCCTCCAGGTGGATGGATATACATTTACAGGGGGCCAGGCGTGGTTGTTCACCCTTGTAATCCCAGCACTTTGGGAGGGCAAGGTAGGAGGACCAGCCTAGGTAAGGTAATGTGACCCTGTCTCTACAAAAGATTTAAAGTAGCCATGGACAGGCCAGGCGCGGTGGCTCACGCACTTTGGGAGGCCGAGGCAGGTGGATCACCTGAGGTCAGGAGTTCAAAACCAGCCTGGCTAAAATGGTGAAACCCTGTTTCTACTAAAAATACAAAAATTAGCTGGGCATGGTAGCGTTTGCCTTTAGTCCCAGCTTCTTGGGAGACTGAGGCAGGAGAATGGCTTGAACAGGGGAGGCAGAAATTGCAGTGAGCCAAAATCGTGCCATTGCACTCCAGCTTGGGCAACAAGAGCAAAACTCCATCTCAAAAAAAAAAAAAAAAAAACCTCTGATCCCCCAAATGCTCAGGGAGACTGATTTGAGTAATAACAAAACTCTGGTCTCCCAGACAGCTGCCTCTGTACGAATTACTTTTTCTCTATTGCCATTCCCCTGTCTTGATAAACTGGCTCTGTCCAGGCAGCAAGCAAGGTTAATCCATTGTGGGTGGTTACAATTTCACCCCTAGATCCTTTTTTTGTTTTTTTTTTTTTGAGATCGAGTCTCACTCTGTTGCTCAGGCTGGAGTGCAGTGGTGCAATCTCAGCTCACTGCAACCTCAGCCTCCCAGGTTCAAGCGATTCTCCTGCCTCATCCTCCCAGGAAGCTGGGATTACCATCACGCCTGGCTAATTTTTGTACTTTTAGTAGAGATGGAGTTTCACCATAACGGCAAGGCTTGTCTTGAACTCCTGGCCTAAGGTGATCCACCCACCTAGTCCTCCCAAAGTGCTGGGATTACAGGCGTGAGAGACCACGCCCAGCTTCTAAATCCTTTTAGGCATCCAGGGAGAGTACTTCTTTCAAAGAATCTCCACACTCTACCAAGAAGGCTAAAGGCTGGGTGTGGTGGCTCCCACTGAAGTGGGAGGATCCCTTGACCCCAGGAGTTTGAGACCAGCATGGGCAACATGGTGAAACCCATCTCTACAAAAAACACAAAAATTAGTCAGGCATGGTGATGTCCACCTGTAGTCCCAGCTACTAGGGAAGCTCATGTGGGAGAATTGATTAAGCCTGGGAGGTTGAGGCTTCAGTGGGCTGTGATCACACCACTACACTCCAGCCTGAGCAACAGAGCAAGGCCCTGTCTCAAAAAAGAAAGAAACCTAGATTTGTATGTGTAGCCTGTTGTATTTTCTTTTTACTGAAATGGGAGCATCTTTATTACTTTTGCTACTTGCAAAAATAACCTTTAAAGAGATCATTAAAAAGTACTGCTATAGGCCTGACTGACGTGGAGAAACCCCACCTCTACTAAAAATCCAAAATTAGCTGGGCGTGGTGGTGCATGCCTGTAATCCCAGCTACTCAGGAGGCTGAGGCAGGAGAATTGCTGGAACCCAGGAAGCAGAGGTTGCTGTGAGCCAAGATCGCAACATTGCACTCCAGCCTGGGCAACAAGAGTGTAACGCCATCTCAAAAAACTGAGTACTGCTTATTTGCTGCAAACATGAATAGCATTTAGCACTGCATTAACTGCTCCAGACCTGAAGGGGGAATGTGAGGAAGAGAAGAGGAATGAGATGGTTGGGCAAGCTCCTGGACCTTGCCCTTGTCCTCTCGATGTGGTCTAGGTTTATCTCCTCTTCCTCTCCCCGCCACCTGGAGGTTTTCATCTGTCTATCTGTTGGGAAGAAATTTCCCCCACTACCAAAGACAGCAGAGCATGTTTCGGAGTAGCTTAAAGTTCCCTAGAGCCATACTGAGAATAGTCTAACCTTCCTGACAAAGAGGCTACCTTGGGCCCACTACCCAAAGCAAAGATGAAAACAATGACTTTTCAGATCTATAAAAATCACCATATAAGGCCGGGTGAGGTGGCTCACCCGTCTGACCAGTAGACCCGTTTGAGACCAGTCTGGCCAAACTTCATCTTTAGTAGAGATGGTGAAACCCCGTCTCTACTAAAAATACAAAAAATTAGCCAGGCGTGGTGGCAGGTACCTGTAATCCCCCAGCTACTTGGGAGGCTGAGTCAGGAGAATCGCTTGAACCTGGGAACAGAGGTTGCAGTGAGCCAAGATCATGACGTTGTATTCCAGCCTGGGCAATAAGAGCAAAACTCTGTCTCAAAAAAAAAAGAAAGATGGCTACAACAATCCCTCCCTCCAGGCTCCAATGAGCTGTGATCACACCATTGTACTCCAGCCTGGATGATGACGGAGACTGTCTCAAAAAACAAGCAGGCTCCATGCAGGGGCTCATACCTAATCCTAGCACTTTGGGAAACTAAGATGGGAAAATAGATTGAGCCCAGGAGTTTAAGACCAGCCTGGGGGCAACCAAGTGAGATCCTTGTCTCTAAAATTTTTTTTTTAATTAGTTGGGCATGATGGCCCATACCTGTAGTCCCAGCTACTTGATAGGCTGAGGCGAGAGGATCACTTGAACCCACGAGATCAAGGCTAGAGTGAGCTGTGATCACGCCCCTGCACTCCAACCTGGGCAACAGAGTGAGACCCTGTCTCAAATAACAAACAAACAAAAAAACAAAAACCCAATTCTTCTCATCCCAAATGGCCAAATTCATCAATAACCAAAAAGTTCTTTCTGAAACCACCTTTGCAAAAATCATAAATGAGAAAATTAGTTCAATGAAAGAATGCTGACCCAACTGACTCCATCTTGATTCTGATCTCCAAGCTGTCCTTGTTCATTCATGGCCATGAGCAGAACTGACTTTGGGAGGAACTTAGTTTATAGTTTAGCTTTGAAACATAGATTATAACAGCCCTTTCCAAAATCAAACCCCCTTTCTGCTTGGGAACTGGATTGCTCTTGCAGGACTAACAAATTAGTTATAAGATTAGAAGTTATGGCTGGGAGGGGTGGCTCACGCCCGTAATCCCAGCACTTTGGGAGACTGAGGCAGACTGATCACTTGAAGCCAGGAGTTGGAGACCAGCCTGGCCATCACAGAGAAACCCCATCTCTACTAAAAATATAAAAATTAGCTGGGCATGGTGTAGGGTCCAGCCCTACAGGGTCCTATGAGCCCCTCTCTACTGGTTCCGAGACAAGAAACTGTGGAAATAAAAGACACAAGACACTGAGAAAGAGAAAACAGAGTTTGGGCCCGGGGGTCCACTGCCAACAAAAGCACAGGGTCCAGCAGTGGCCCTGAGTGCCTGGACACTCTGACTTTTACTGAGTACAAAGCAGGGGGCAGAGTAGGTAGGGTGAGGTAATGGTGGTCAGTGATAGGGTCAGGTAAACCACCTGTCTTGGAGATAGGGGCCCAGGTCTTTCAAGTAACCAAGGCGAAGAGAAAACCTAATGCATCAGCGCTTCTTCATGCTTGTCAAGAAAGAACAAAGATGTTAAAATTTATGTTACTATTACTGATTCTATCTTTTAAGAAAAGGAGGGACCAGGTGTAGAAGCAGAACTTGAAAGTAGACATGGAACGTGACCACTGAAGCACAGCATCACATAGAGGCAGTTAAGCCCCCGGATGTCTGTGGGTCTCCCTGACAGCCGTCAGGCCTACAACAAGAGCTTGGAGAAGCACAGTTTTCTCCTAACTCCCCCAGGGAAGGAGATGTCTCGGACATTTTGGATGTCTCCTTCCCTAGCTGACTAAACAGCAGGTGCTTTCCCAGCGCAGCCGCCGCTGCCGCACAGCCAAGGCACCCTCCAGCAGCCCTTATGTGGGCGTAGAGGGCTTAGAGCATCTTGCCTTAGGATCACTTTGTTCACAATGTCACCTCAATTCCATGCTTCATAACCTGATAATCATTAGTGAGATTAAAAGATTATATTGAGTATATATATTTCTGTGATTCCATATGAATAACTATGTGATTATTCATGATTATATATAGGAATAACTATGTAAGTATATCTCTAATTCTTTTCTAGTTCTGTATTCATATGGGAACAGGCTGAGGCTTCAGACCCTTGCCTCAGCACTTGCAGGGTCTCCCACCCACGGCGTGGTGATGCACACCTGTAGTCCCAGCTACCTGGGAGGCTAAGACACAAGAATCACTTGAACCTGGGAGGCAGAGGTTGCAGTGAACCAAAATAGGGTGACTGCACTCCAGCCTGGGTGACAGAGTGAGACTCTGTCTCAAAAAAAAAATTTTGGTTTAGAGACTGCAAGACTCTGAACCTCCCCAAATTGCTCCTGGGGATAACATCATTGCTGTAAAACCTAAGATCAATGCTTGAGATATTTTCCAGACCCTGCACTCAAAGGATCAGCTGGCAACACCCAGAAGGAAAAACTGGCTGATTTAGTGCCCCCACCCAGGAACTGACTCAGTAAAAGAGGAGAGTTTCTGGTTGGGCGCGGTGGCTCACGCCTATAATCCCAGCACTTTGGGAGGCCAAGGCGGGTGGATCACAAGGTCAAGAGATCGAGACCATCCTGGTCAACAAGGTAAAACCCCTGTCTCTACTAAAAATACAAAAATTAGCTGGGCATGGTGGTGCATGCCTGTAGTCCCAGCTACTCAGGAAGCTGAGGCAAGAGAATCGTTTGAACCCAGGAGATGGAGGTTGCGGTGAACCAAGATCGTGCCTGGGTAACAACAGCAAAACTCCATCTCAAAAAAAAAAAAGAAGAGTTTCAACTCCTCATGATTTTATCTCCCACCTGACCAATTAGCACTCCCCACTTTCTGACCCCCAACCCACCAAATTATCAAAAACCCCAGTCTCTAAAGTTTCCGGGAGATTGAGTAATAACTAATTCAATTTCACACATGGCATGGCAGACCTCATGTCAATTAAATTTCTGTACTGCAATGCCATGGTCTTTTTTTTTTTTTTGAGATGGAGTTTCACTCTTGTTGCTCAGGCTGGAGTGCAATGGCACGATCTTGGCTCACTGCAACCTCCAACTCCTGGGTTCAAGCGATTCTCCTGCCTCAGCCTCCTGAGCAGCTGGGATTACAGGCATGCGCCACCACACC